ATTTAGGGGTTAGTGGCAATGTTCTGTTTCTTAACCTGGATAGTGGTCACTTTGTGATACTTCAGAGAGATGTATACTTACGATGTGTGTATTTTTCTGTGTATATGTTATACTTACATAGAAAACTTTTTTAAAACCTTACCAGACCAGAGAAAAATAATCAGCATTCAAGATATTACAGAAATTACTAACATGACAATTACTATTTCTTGATAACTTACTACATGTCAGATATTGTACATGCACATGTTTTATCATTTAATCTCCACAACAGCCCTACCTTGAAAGTAAGAATTAGTTTCTCCATTTTACAGATAAAGAAACTCAAGTTCAGGAACTTTAAGCAGCTTGTTCAAAATCACAAAGCTAGTAAATGGTGTAATAAGAACTAGAATTCAAGTCTGCCTATTCCTGAAATTTCAGAAGTAAGGTTCAACTCTTTAATAAATTGTGTCTCGCAAGTTCCTTTTTTGTGATCTCCAGTCTCCTTTGTCACCCCCAGCCTTCTTTGTCACCAACCCTGTTCCTATATCCCAGCCCACTCTCTGCCTTCCCCCTACTCCAAAACCACTCCTGTTACCACCCATCACTCAACACTCAGATCATTACAAATTACTTGTAGCTTCCAGATTCTCTCTTAGCTTTGTGTCTTGACTTATGATGTTCCGTCAGCTTAGAATGCATTCCTCCTCACATCTTTCCCACCTCCAACATCTTTTGGCTTAGTTAACTCTTATTATTCCTTAAAGATCTAAGAAAAGACAGTTACTGCATTCTCTGAAAATCTTCTCCTATCTCTGCCTCATCCTTCCTATCTGCTTCTATGCACTTTGCACATACTTCCATCATACCATTTATCATATCACAGTGTAAGATTTATTATCCATCTTTCTACCTGAGATCATCAACTCTTTGAGAGAAAGAGCCATCTACCTCTTGGAATCCCTTGTACCCAGCAAAGCATCTGACAGATAGTAGGTGCTCAACTCTAGGTGAATAAATAAAAACCTTTCTATCAAAATAAAACCAACA